TTTTTTTTTGTTAAAAACAATTTGTAAAGAAAAAAAATCTCTTTTTTTTTTTTTTGTTTAATTGTTTTGAAGACAGAGCTTTTTGAGAAAAGGGAATTTGGGAGGGGAGGGGAGGGGAGGGGGGAAGGAGGTTTAAAAAACAGAAAAAGAAATCAGTAGCCGTTTCACCAATGTCATCGTCTCTTTTTATTCTTTCATCTTTTATCTTCAAAGCCTTTGTTTTGTTCAAATTCTCTTTTTTTTTTTTACCAATCAGTAGTCTTTTTTTTTCTTCTGCAGACGCTTTTATTATAACCTTTACCAAAAAAGAACATTGAAAGGTGCCTGGTAAAGTTTAAAAGCCAAAAAAAAAGAAAAAAAAAGTAGAAGTAGTTTTTTTTGTTGTATGTGAAAAAAATATTTGAGAAAAAAAAATGATATATGAACAAAGAAAAATGAAAAGAAAACATTAAGGTTGGCAACATAAAAAAAAACACACACACACACATTTATAATAAGTACTTTTTCAAGTTTTTTTTTCTCCTCTTTTTTTTTTTGCCACTTTTTTCCTTCCTCTTCTTCTACTGTTCCCCTTCCTTCTTCTTCGTCGTCTTCTTCATCTGTTTTCTGGTTTTTTTTTTTGTCCTTTTGTCCTTCTGTCCTTCTCCTTCTTCTTCCTATCCTTCCTTTAACTCTTCCATTTCTGTCCTTTTATCTTCAATCAATTTTCATATAACTGTTTCAAACTTGCAATTATACATTTACAATTTTTTTTTTTTTTGGTTGATAGGGAATTGATTTGGTTTTTTGCTTCTGTCAACTATCTAACATTTAATTGTTTATTCTTCTTTCTTTTTTTATTTTTTTTTTCTGATTTATAATGACTGTTAATCAGAAAATTTTTAATGCTTTTTTTTTTTTTTTTTGTGTGTGTGTGTTATCTCATTTATTTTCTTGACAATCTGTAAATTGATATATGTTTAGTGATGGTAAAAAAAAAATCAATTTAAAAAAAAAAAAACAAATACATAAACAAGAAAAAAAAAAAAGGATAAAATAAACCTTTAAATGAATAAAACGAGTTAAAAAAAAATTTTTTTTTTCTTCTTTAAAGATAAAAATTTAGAAGAAAGCTAAAAACATTCATTAAATTTACACTTAAAACTCTTTATAAATTAAAAAATAAAAAAGTCCCAAGCCAAAAAGAAAAAAAAAAAAAAAAAAGAGAAAACGGAAGAAAACAAAAAGAAAATGCATAGAGTTGTTGGTTTGTTGTTTATTACTCAGCAATATTCAGCAACAGAAATAGTTCACATTTTGTTTGATATTTTTGCAGCTGTAAAACAACATTTGCAGTCAACATTTATAGTAATTAAACATTGATTAATTTTGCAATTAATAATAATAATAATAATAATAATAATCTGATAGATAAAGTTGAGAAACAAACTACTTTGAACAAAATTTTCAGTTAATTGATACAGTCAAAAATATTGGCAATTACTCAGTATCTAAACTTTTAAAATCTTTAACAGTGTTTCAACAGTGGATAGAGCAGTGCATTAGAGGAATCTGATATACCAAAAAGCCGTACGTTATTGCAATTATCTGCAAAAAAAAATGTTTTCAACAAAGTAGCATATCACTGTTGATGTAAACACCGATGTACCATTATCAAACTGCATCTAATCCATGCATCTGTATTCCTAATCATGCATCTCTCCATATATCAAATTCAGTAATCGGTTTTTTCTCGACCAAATTAAAACCACTTAGAGTAGTATTAAGTGGAGAAACACGATTATCGTATGAGAATCTTAAAAGTTTCCCCCACTGTTGTTTGTACAACTGTGAAATCTGTTTACCAAAATAATCATAAAATGGTAGCGGTAATAGCATTATATAAACCTTCCTAAGTGTATCTGTCAATCCAATAATAGTAATAATAATAATAACAATAATAATAAATAATAATAATAATAATGACAATACCAATAACTACATGTTAATTTTTGTGTGTATAATTGGAGACTGGCACCAATAGTAACCTGTTTTTCGAAGGATATTTTGAGACCCTTTTTTTTTTTCTTTCTTTTGTATTGAGAGAGCTCTGTTTTTTTTTTTTATTTGCTTTTCTATACCACATTTGTTCTTTTCACTGTCTGTTAAAAAAAAAAAAGGTGAAAGACAGGAAAAAAAAAGAACAGAATAAAATAAAATGAAACACAACTGTCTTGAAAAAATATAAAAAAATAAGTGAAGAAAAAATGGGCAAATGTTTTATTTATTTATTTTATTTGTTGTTGTTGTTGTTGCTTTTGTTGTTGTTAACGATGTTTTATAAATGCTTTGCTTGTATGTTTTTTTTTCCCCCTTACTTTTGCTTATTGGTTATAATGTTGCTGATAGTGAGTGGTGT